ATGAAAGCGGAGTCTTTGTCGGCTTTTATTTCTATGGGTTTACCCATGTCGTTGAATATACGTAAAATAGCTCTTTTAGCTTCAAGCCAGTCTCTACTATTTACTTCTATCAGGGAGGCGTATTTAGAATAAATGTCAATACATGATAGGAATTGTTTATTGTTTATTAAGTAGAAGTCTATGACATATTTGTCTCTGGGGTTAAAGGTTTCTGGGGTTGTTTCGATAGTTAATTTTGTGTTTCTGTGTTCGGTTTTAGCGATGTTACAGATTTCACATTCATTTATGATGTTTTGGATAAGCTTTTGGTAATCGGGGTAATAATAAAGTTCTTTGAACTGAAGTGTTAATTTTTCTATGCCAGGGTGTAAATATTCTTTATGTGTTTTAAGAATGATTTCTTTGAATTGGGCATATGTTTGAATGTCTATTAGTTTGTTACTGGTTTTCATGGTTTTAGTGAAATTGTCGGAACTTATGATTTGAATATAAGCATTTTGAAATATCTGAAAGTCGATTTCATTAGGGAAGTAAATAACACTTTTCTTATTACAGAAGTATTCTTTAATTAAGTCTTTAGCAAGGGTGTCGGTCATTTCTTTATAACTGATTTTTATTCTAGTTTTGTGGAAATATTTTATTATCTGGACGTCGTCAAAATTGTCTTTTATGAATTCGAATTGTCTGTTATAATAATTAAGGGGTCTTTCTGTTATTGGAATGTGATTTTGGTTATCTTCTGATGCACTATGTATAGTAGCTGCTGTGGGAAGGGAGATTGGATCATCTTCTCCTAGGAAGTTTTCTTGAATTTGAATTCTGGATAGAGCATCCGCGACATGATTTTCTTTACCAGGTAGGTATTGGATATTATAATCGTATTCGTTAAGTTTTATCTTCCATCTCTGTAACTTCATGTTAGGGTCTTTTATGTTGTTTAGCCATACAAGTGGCCTATGATCGCTTAATATGTCGAATTTTCTACCGAATAGGTAAGATCTGAAATATTTTGTTGCCCATACTATAGCTAATAGTTCTTTTTCTATTGCTGAATAGTTAAGTTCGTGTTCGTTTAGAGTTCTGCTTGCATAACAAATAGGTTTGTGTTCTTGAGATAATACAGCGCCTATAGCTATATTACTTGCGTCTGTCGTTAATGAGAATTTCTTTTCGAAGTTAGGATATATTAGGATCGGATCGGACGTAATGAGTACTTTGAGTTTCTCGAAGGCGGACATGTAGTCATTATCTTTTGTGTTAATTGTTGCTCCTTTTTTCAATTTAAGTGTCATGGGTTTTGCTATTTTTGCAAAATTGGGAATGAACTTACGGTAGAATCCGCAGAGTCCAAGGAAAGATTTTATTCCTTTTGTAGTTTTTGGGATAGGAAAGTTAACAATTGCCTTTATTTTGTTAGGGTTTGGTTTTATACCGTCTGTCGTGATAATGTGACCGAGAAATTCTGTTTCTTTCTTTAGAAATTCACATTTATCAAGTTGCAATTTTAGATTTGCTGATCGTAGCTTATCAAATACCCTTTTCAATGACATTATGTGTTCCTCTAGTGAAGTGGAGTAAACGATAATATCATCTAAGTAGACTAAACAATCCTTATAGATTAAATCTTCTAGAAGGTTATTCATGCAACGTTGAAAGGTTGCTGGTGCATTTTTCAAACCGAAAGGCATACGAGTATATTCGTAATGTCCATGTTTTGTTGAGAATGCGGTTTTGGGTATTGACTGTTGGTCCATTTGAATTTGATGGAAACCTTTAGCTAGATCAATGGTTGTGAAGTATTGACAGCGTCCAAGCTTGTCTAATATTTCGTCCATTACAGGAATAGGGAATTTGTCGTCAATGGTTATTTCATTGAGGCTACGATAGTCTATGACTAATCGAAATTTTGGTTTGCCAGAAGCATCGCTTTTCTTTGGGACAATCCAAATTGGAGAACAATAGGGAGATTTTGATTTCCTAATTATTTTTTGTTCTATCATTTCGTTGATTTGTTTATTAACTTCTTGGTCAAATGCTTGGGGGTATTTATATGGTTTTTTATAGATAGGGTCTTCGTGCTTTGTATGAATAGAGTGTTTAATCGTACTTGTGAAGGTCAAATTTTCACCTTCTTTGTACTGAATATCACTATATTCGAGCAAAACGTGTGAAAGTTGTTCCCTTTCTTCCGTATTTAGATGTTCTAATCTGAATACGTTGGATTCTCTTAACTCGTCGTTTAAGGCGTAGTTAGAGGATGTTACTAGAAGGGCTTCTTCTATGTAAGGGGTAATAAGAGGGTTTTCCTCAGATTCAGAAGATTTGGGACACTCATTGGTAGTCTTGGATTCTTCTGGATTGGATGGCTTTGGCTCATCTGGTTTTAAGTGGGGTTTCCGCTTAATTTTACGGAGGGATTTTTCCGTTTTTGGGGTATGTAGAGGAGTTTCCTCTAGGTTAGATGACTTGGGGTACTCATTGGTAACTTTTGACTCATCTTTTTGGATGTGATCGTACCACATTTTAAATGGGTAGCCATTTATGTTGACTGTTTGTGTTGAATAGTTAATTTGAGTGTTGGTTGACTCTAAGTAGTTTCTGCCTAATAGTAGATCATATTTTTCTGAGAAATTGTGAATAAAGAATGTTTGTTTAGTCGGACAAAGTTTGCTTGAATGCAATGAAACGCTTTGGTTCAATACTATAGTGCCATTGATAGTGTGGACTTTCATTTTAGAGAATTTTATTGGGAAATTAAAGAAATTTTGTTTCATAATATTGATAGACGAACCAGTGTCTACTAGGCATTTGAGAGTAATATTATTTAGTTTAATTTTTAGGAATGGATTACCTACTCCTCTGGATCGCTTTCTGATTCCGAGGCTGGTTGAAGAAAATTTTCGCTTGTGTCCATTTTGTATTGGTCACTAGCACTTTCTCTCTGCCGTTTGACGGGAGGGTTTGGTGCCTTACTATTATGTTGTGGGTAATTTAAAGGGTTCTGGGCTCTACCCTGATTTAGCTTTTGTTTAAATTCATGCATAACCTGCTGGTTTGATACAATAGGTTTTGAATTATTGTTGGGATTTGATTTATTTGTGTTGTGCATAACATAATTCGCGAAATTTTGATAATTTCCTTTATTCTTAGAAGTTTGGGGTGGATTTGTGTTAGTATTGGAGTTATTTTGGTGTTTCGTTCGGTCATTGAAGGTTATTTCGTATACACCTTCTTGTTGAGCTATTTGTTTGAGCTTAGATACTGTCGTTATGTCATGTCTAGCAAGGGTCATAAATAACCTATCGGGCAATTTTCTCATGATCACATCTTTAACTGTGTTATTTAATGCATTTGTGTATAATAAGGTGTTGTTAACGTTATTTTCTAACATAAGCTTATTTGATATTGTGAATGATTTGACTTCTAATTCTTCGACGAACTTACGGATACTTCCGTTGAAGGGTGTATTGTAGAGGCGACGGAGTAATTCTTCACATGGTGTTTGTGTTTTATATTCGCTGATGAGTGCGTTCATTAGGGTGGGCCAGGTTGTTGCTCCAGATAATTGTGACACTCGTTGGGCATCTCCTGCAAGCTGCATCTCTATTGCGCTGAAGAATACATGTTTTTGCCTGGGGTCCGTTGTTGGATACAGTTGGAGTATGAACTCTATCCTTCGTATGAAGGCACTGAGCTCTTGGGTGTCTCCACTGAATGAAGGTATTTGCCTAATTTGATTTAAGGCTTGATTCAAGTAGGATTCTGATAATAGTTGGATTTGTTCGGTTGCCATGGTTGATTTTTGTTTCTGTAGAGTCTTGGTTTTTTGTTTTTACACTTTTATTAATCGTATGCAGTAGGTTGACTCTTGTGTGACAACCACCGATTATACGTAGTTCTTTTGCGGATAAAAAGAGTTTTATTGTATTACGATTTACGTTCACTTAGCGCCGATTCGCGTGGTTCAATCACTAAAAGATACGCTTGGTCGTACAAGGATCTTTTGTCACTAGATTGATATTTGTAAACGAGTCGTACAACTTTTTCTTTTTATCCTACCGACTGCGCCATTTACGAATTCAGACCGAGGGTTTGATAAAAAAAAACACACGATTGAGTTTTATATTTTATTAAACCTTTTTATTAATTCCATTTATGGAAAGAACTAGAGCCATTTGATTATCACGAGATTGGAAAGTTAAATTGGCTTAAGCGGTGTTATCGCGGTTGATAACGTACTCAGTACTGAACTGCTGCATAGAGGCATGCTTGCTGTTTTATAGGCAATTTGGGGAAGCCAAAGAGCGAAGTTTAAGAGAGTTTGGTTGTAAACCTCTATTTTCTTGTTGGAAGAGAGTCTTCTGAAGAATAGGGGTAATTGGAGAATCCTGGGACAAGTGCGTAGGCGTAGGCGCCGATCGCGAAAGTTTATTATTTCAGTTGGCTCGCCAAGTGGTCGAATGCAAATGATTAGGGGACGAGAGTCTGTGTTTATAAAGGCGGCAAGTGTCTATGTTTATGATAAGGCGACAAGTGTCTATGTTTATGATTTCCGATCTGTGAGAAAGGGTGGCTTTGGAACATGACGCTGTGTCCGAGGTTAATCGAAGGGCTCTCGTTCTTTGATTACATTTTGTGCTTAGACTTAGATATTTTGTGTTTATACATTAATGTGTGTATATGAGCTTATACTAGTGTATGTTGCTTATAGTTATCTTATGGGGAGTTGTGGGTGTAATAATGGATATGTTACTATATGTAATACTAACAAAAAATTAGAAATTTTAAAGATGATTGCATAAATAGCAATAAGTATTCAAACTATTTTCGTTAAATGGGCAGTATGGATAATTAATTAAGCTAATCATATGGAAAATGTTCATGATGGACGAAGTTTTGTTGTTTTTAAGCCATTAAAAAAAATGTTTTCCGTTAAATTCCATCATTTGAATTACCGGGAATCTCACAGATATACGGTCATACTACATATATATGTAGTGTTTTCAATTACCCATCAATGGTCACACAACTTTTTGGTCACACTGGCATACTACCTGTTTGAGTTCTACGTTCCGTTTATTTATTAACTCTCTGAATTGTTTCCTTAATTTATTTATGGTTTTGTTAAGTTATTTTAACTAATTGCAAGTATACTACAAACACTATAAAATGGTGAGTTATAAATGCCACTCCCTTAAAAAGGAAATGCGATCTTCTGTTCCTAACTGCACTTTCCACTCGAATGCCCCCATTAACCATTTGTATTTATGCAACTTTCTACTTCTCAACTTTATTTCAGGCTCGTTACTTTAAAGAACAGGATATTGACGGTAAGTATGCGTGTGACGCATTAATGATTTCATTCCGAAAGCATTTCTTATCTTTAACCTCCAGAGTTCCGTGAATGTTTCTATCTGTTCGCCCGCTCGGGCCAAATCAACAATTTGGACGAACTAACCGTGAGTGGGGCTCCCACCCCAGAAAAAACACATACTAATGGAGAAAACTTCATATCATCAGGTTATTATGCGTTCTTTGGGTCTTTCGCCGACGATTCAGGAACTGGTTTCCTATCTCAAGCAAAAGAATGGGAAAATGAGCTTCGCCGACTTTCTGGACATTATGCACCAGCACTCCAAGGTGGAGAGTTTGCCGGACGAGGTCATTGCCGCCTTTAAAGCAGCCGATCCGCAGAATAAGGGAACCATCTCGGCCAGACAGCTGCGCAACCTCCTTCAAAACTGGGGAGAGGGTCTGTCCATGCGCGAGGTGGACAACATCTTTCGGGAGGCCAATGTGAACAACAACAGCACGGTGCGTTATGCAGACTTTGTCAAGATTGCATGCGCCCCAGTTCCAGACTACTATTAGACTGCCTTGCAATTCGAAGCACTCCATTACCATTACAGAACATTCCAGTAAAGTAATGCTATCTTCGCACAATAAAATTGACCAAATGTGTTTGGAAAAAGTTCTTTGTTTTTATTTGTACGCCAAACTTTTCGAGGTGTAAAAATGTGGCATCTGCCGATCTTAGTTGGCGATGGTGACCTCAACCTCTACGCCGGGCTCGATGTTGATGGAGGTGATCTTCTTGACAATCTCAGAAGGCGAGTGCAAGTCGATGATGCGCTTGTGGATTCTCATCTGGAATTAAGGGTTAACATTAAATATTTATTTAATATGCAGCTCTTCTTGCAAGCTAATTAATTATTAATAGTGACGCATCATTAATTATTTTTGTCGAATTCAGAGAGGCAAATTGTGAGGAAATACCAACAAATTGTACTATGAGAATACGTTTTATCTGGGCAAATCATTAATACTGTGGAACGACTGGTTGAACGCCCAACCACGATATCAGATCTGCCCATTTTTAATTATGTATACTATAAGAAATAACCCACCTGGAAGCGATCCCAGGTCTTCGAACCCTCACCACAAGGAGTCTTACGGGTTGTGATACGCAGGGTCTTAGTCGGCATGCGCACGGGGCCCTGAAATGAAGGAATTTATAATAAGAAAGACATATCATATAAAGAAGGCCTTGTAGCCTGAACCATATGATATTCCTGCTCTGGAGTAATCAGTGCAGGAATAATGTCCGACTCAGGCGCTTTATCTGGCATTTATTTATGACTAGGCTAAGCGTCTGGGGTCACGCAAAGCCTCCAGGTAAATGCAACTTCGGAATCCTCGAGATGGATCTCAAATTCTCACCTTGACGCGCAGGTTCTGGTTCTTGGCACCGTTGATCAGGTCGCGGCACACGTTCTCCAGGGAACGCACGTTCCTGGAGGTCAGGGTGATGCGGATGCGGTGCACAGAGGCAGAATCGCCGCCATGGGGCTTCTCAATATCCTTGGGTGCAGCAGCCTGCGAATTTGGCGTAAACATGAATTAAGTGGGGTTAGGTTGAGTGGCCATCCCACGTGCATGGTGTTTTAGGGTGCTGAGGCGCATACAATAACTGCTATTTACTTGCAGTAGCTATGGGTGCTTCGGCATCAGCATTCTTACCATTATTTAGCAATTTCCCTGGTCGAGATATTCAAATCTTTGTATTTTGAGCAGCGCTGAACCAGTCAATATGCTGGTTGAAAACGAAGAGAAGGTTAACAGGGTGTCCATGGCAGACCGTAATTTGAATCCCCGAAATACCCTAATTATGCCCAACTGCACTTGGGGTGTTCCTTCAGGTGTTCAACTGCTAAGCATAAACGGGATACTAGTTCGTATACTAGATGCACATAACGGTAAAATTGTACAACTATAACTTTGATTTATTTTCAATTTAATAAATGGAAGCATCAAGCTTATTATAGAGTTTCTTATTTTGGTTTCAAACTTGCTTAAATTACTGGGATGCATGAATACCCTTGATGTAAGCACGCAGTGTGACCGTACCCCTGCATCCGTTTCGTGGCGAATGACCGCAATTACCTGTGAAACAGCTGTCGCCCGATGCGAATGGCCAGCGGCGAAGAAGCAGCGATTTGTGTACGTGTGTGTTTTGTCTTTGCGACGTGGTGATTGCATAGCCACCAGAACCGACACAGGTCCCATACCGATCCGATCCGACCCCGCCAGAATCCAGCACTTCCATGCAGATGCGCTTCACGGAATTGCCGGCAGTCCAGCTGCTGCTGCCCCTAATCCTGATTGGATTGGCTAGCGGGCAGCGCGTCGCTCCCGGCGTGAATCCGCAACACTATGTGAGTGGTTTAAAGCACCTCCATTCGCCCATGAGTTAATTAACCAACACATATTGCAGCAACAAGTGCCGCAGCAGGTGCCACAGCACCACCCACCGCCACCACCGCAGCACCACCAGCCGCAGTACCAGCAACAGGTCCACTCGGCACCCGGTGTGCCGCCCCAGCAATACGTGAGTGAATAACGTATCCTCTAATGGCAGACATTTAACCAGTAGGCCTTCGACTTCTAGCAATATGAGCAGGTTCAAGTTCCCGTGCAGCAGCAGGCACCGGTCCAATATCAGCAAGTTCCTGTGCAGCAGCAGCAGCAGCAGCATCAACCAATTCACCAGCAACCGACGGTGCAGCAAGTCCAACAGCAGCACCAGCAGGGACACCACCAGCAGGCAGGTGGCCACCACCATGGGCAACCTCAGCAGGTCCTAAACACTGGCAACATCCAGCAGGAGCGCGCGTAAGTGCCCGTCTATTTTTTGAGCTTTGGCGGTTATGGGTGTCTTGGTGTCTTAAATAAATCTCTAAAGTTATTTAGGTATGTTGTTGTACCTCAAATAAAAAGCTTGAATTAGGGAAGAAGTTTATAAATTAACCATGGTGACATTTCCATACAGCCAAAGTGATGTGGAGTATTTTTCCATACACAATTTAATAAATTAAATATCAAGAGTTCGATGCTGAAAGTAAATACACATGCACATTTCCGGGGTGATCTACAAATTTTGAACACAAAATAGTCAATACAAGTTATGCTAAAAAGTTCTTGGAAGATGTTTCTCATGTGTCAAGCAATTGGTTATATTCTAATAATAAAATGATGTAAGAAATATTTATTTATTTAAATTCAGCCAAATATTTTGTTATCATGAAAAATCGTTATCGTTAACAATCGCTCAACACTTAGGCGTTTATTTTTATACCCGTTAGTCGTAGAGTCAAAGGGTATACCAGAATCGTTGAGATTTATGTAACTGGTGGATGGAAGCGTTTCCAGCCATAAAGAATATATATTCTTGATCAGGATCAATAGCGGAGTCGATCTAGCCATTTCCCTTTGTCCGTCCATATGAATGTTAAGATCTCAAGAACCGTAAAAGCTAATATTATACATACAGATTCCGAAGACATATATTTTCTATCAATACGCCAAAAAGAATGTTGCACTTTCTCGTTTGCACTCCCACTAGCCGAGTAACGGGTATCTGATAGTCGAGGAACTGTAGCGTTCTTTCTTGTTTATTTTATTCACACTTCTACCTATTTAAGCTTTAAATTAATACCAACCCTTGACATTTTACTTCCAGTCACATCCAGGAGCACATGCAAGTGCCGATCGATACGAGCAAAATGTCCGAGGCCGAGCTGCAGTTCCACTACTTCAAGATGCACGACTCGGATAACAACAACAAGTTGGACGGCTGCGAGCTGATCAAGTCACTGATCCATTGGCACGGTAAGATAGTTAGTGCTTTTAAAACTGGCTCGATAGTTAGAGATGCGTTTGTAGTTTCTGTATTTCGTTTTGTTTGACCCACTATTCTATTCTACTTCTTTGCATATGCGTAATAAAACTGGGCTGTTTCCGGTTATGGTTGTGGTCATGCTCGAATCTCATGCTAATCCATCTCGCATCCGCCATAACAACTCATTGCCACGCAGAGCAAGGCAGCAAGGAGCAGCCGAACGGCGAGAAGCCGCACGTAGAGGAGAAGGTCTTCTCCGACGAGGAGCTAGTGGCCCTCATTGATCCCATCCTGCAGATGGACGACACCTCGCGCGACGGCTACATTGACTATCCGGAGTTCATCAAGGCGCAGCAAAAGGCAGCCGAAAAGCAGCAGCAGCAACAGCAGCAGCCACAAGAACAGCAGCACCAGCAGCAACAGCAGCAGCCGGTTCATTAGTAGTCACCCCGATCCGTTCTGTTTACATACATTAACATGTCCTCGTCCCGCGCTCTGTGACATGCAATACATACTCCTGTTTCTGCCCCAAGCACCCTGAAATTACGTGGACCACGTCGACGGTTTTAGCGCACTTCTTAGATAATTTTGAATGAAATTTACTTAACATGCTGCAAGCATTCCAATCGGAGAACCCTATTGAACAAATTCTAACTAAACGTCTTTCTGAGAACTCTTTCAAAAGATTCCCATTTTCGAACATTTCTCACGAATCTCTCGAGTGGTTTGTGCAATTCCAGCCGCCTTGTTTCGTTTGTTTTCCATTGTCATAATTTTAGTTACTTTTCGATATGAACTAATTTTTAAGCGCAACTTTAGAGCAGCAAAAACAGACTGATTGTGTAAACGTTTGTTTTGTACAAAAAGAAAATGAAACTATGCAAAAAAAAAGAACGAAGGAAACACCGTCTGTGTGGAAATCTTTTTAAACTGAAACCTATTATATAGACGCATGCAAATCTCTGTAAGTAAAGCCGAATTTGCGAATAAAATCGAATTCAAATCACAGGGCACGACATCTAGTACCTCTAACAAGTAGAACTGTAGACTTTAGAACACATTTTCCGGTTTCGGGTGCGCTTAGCTAACAAGTTAACCATGCCAAGTGGAGCTTTAAAGTGTGTGACGCTTCATTACCTTTCTAGTGAAAGATAGTAACGAGAAAGCAGCAGAGGGTCACCAAGAAGGACACGCCGAGGGCCAAACGGAGCAGCCCGAGGATCACAAGTCCGGATCAGTGTACACAGACAAAGCTCTGGAGGACACCATTGACTATGTGCTGAAGTCCATGGATCTGAACAATGATGGGTTTGTCGACTGGGCCGAGTACCGCAAGACTGAGGCTAACATTGGCAAGGACTAGAGCCAGTTTCATACCAAGAGAGCCATAGAACTTGACAAATAGTTGAACTCTTATACTTGTTATATGAATTTACACATATACCGTTCTGCTTTTACACCACATGATTAGAATTTGCTTGTTTTCTATGTTTACAATTTTTGTACTTTGCTAAATAAAATGATACTAAAAACGCACTACATACTCTTTCTTGAATACTGATCGCACAAGGTCAAAGATTATCAAGTGCGCCACTCGTTTGTTTTTTAAAATAATAATTGTTATATTATATGTGAGGACCAGAACAGTTTTTAGAACACTTTCTCCAGGTATTCCTGGTGCGATACGAACCCTCAACGAACCAAAGCTCTGAAAGCATAAAAGCTGCCTGCCATCGCTGGGAACTTTCCCATTCTAGACTTTTAGTGGCTGGCAAGGCGTTGCAGGCGGCGGTACGAAAATTGCTCGCGTTTACAGCTGAACGGCGAAAATATAAAATAAACAATCGCTGCAGCATAAAATAGGTTTCGAGCGATTAAAGAGTGTCCGTGGCAGTGCTGAAATCGAATATTACGCATACGCCGGGTGGGACGGAGCTCGGGACTGCTGATTAACTCGGGAATCTCTGCGAAATGTGAGTAAACGAAGGAGTGCTGCCGAAATCAAATATACACACAAACCAAGTGCATTTATTATGGACCGCATGATAGCCGGTCCCGGGGCCATAAATCGCGTTGCTCGGACGACCTAGCCGGCGATGTTGCTTGAAAATAAACAACCCGGGCGAGTGGATAGCTCGGTGCTGCTTATGGTGAATCCACCGAAACCGCTGCACGTGGTCGCGTGCAGCCGGGAATTACGCTCTGCATATTTGCATTGCGCAAATAGCACAGCATAGTGTGCCATAATATCGATTTTGCCCAGACCTGCGGAATGGAGTGGGGTTGTGCTGGGACTTCCGAGTGCGATGCGATTCTCAGGGGGAGATAAGCCGGTTGGCGATGCCATTGGACCCGGCTGCTCGGTTGGAGTTCCTGGTTGCTGTTGCTGAAACCCCTAAAATAAAGGGCCTCATTATGCACACGCAATAATATCGGGTTTATTGTAATGGTGTTGTAATACCGAAATATGTAGCTTGGTTCTCATATTATATCATCATAATCTAGATTCTAGATGGGAGGTTGGGTTGGTCTGTCATGACCATATTGCTAAGAATCTAGCAAAACAACGATTAGTGTATTTTCTTGGTGGGTTTTTCTTATAAGAACTTTGTATGGACTGGAAAATGTTAACAATTTATTACTAGTTTTCTAGGTTTTTTTTATTTTCAAATAATTTCCTAAATATAGAACCCCAATATGTGTAAAGGAAATATTTAATTTGTGTTGGACTTTAGACAACTTTACAAGAAAAAGTTGATATTATAAGCGCTTTAATATGTTTTCCCTTTAAAATAAACGAATCCCTCAAATTAAATTATTTCTGTGGAGATATACATATGTATGAACTTAAAATGTAACATTGAGAACTGCACAAACAGCATATTATTTGAAAAGATAAACTACTCTAATAATTTTGAACATTAACTTGCTTCCTCGATCCGTAGGGCTGCCATGCAGTCCGGTGGACGACCCCGCGAACGATTGTTGTACGCCTTCCGAGGTTGGATAGCATTCGTGGCCTTCATGGATTTGGGCACGGCTTTCAGGAGCTATATAGAAAGACGCAGCTTCCTGGGCGACCACAGCGACACTCAGTTCATAGAGGGTAAGTTCGGGATGGAGTGAGCTGCTGGAGTCCCATTTCATGGATTCTTTCACAGGGGACTACACCATATCGCGAATCATCGGGATGTACTGCCTGCTGAAGGCCATCGCCCTCGTCCACTGCACCCTCTACATCCACTACAAGCCGTAAGTGAATTTCAAATATCATTTGCTTAGAGGCTACTAATGCGTTTATCCCCCAACTTAAAGGGTGGTCAGCATGGGTGGCTGCTCCTTGGCCCTCACCATGATCTTCTATGCCACCGAGGCACTCTACTTTCGCTCCAGCACCATTAACTTCTACGTGATCTTCCCGTGTGTGCTAAATTGTGAGTACAAATGAAATAAATTCAACAGTAATAGCGGAATACTAATACCTAATAGCAAATACCGAATGAATATGGAATATATACATATCAATTTAAATATTTCTAGAGATGTACAGATTTCATATTCATGTGTTTTAAATACATAGTTTCAAAGAGTAAAGCATTAGTCATGCATTAGTCACAGCTATAGAAGTCCTAAAGCTTTATTGAATATAGATCCTGTTAGTTCACACTCCGCACCAATAAGAAAATTTTTGTGTTTAATAAATGCAAATATGTTCAATCTTTTACCTTTTCAGCTATAACTCTACTGGGCCTAATTTACATACCCAAACGACTGCGGCTCTGGGAGCCAAATATGGATCTCGATGACGAGAACTCACAGCTTCTGAAGCAAATGACGGGATTTAAGAGACGACGAGCGAAAAAACAATAATTTACTATCTAAAAATCTGAAAAGCAATAACTGGAAGGCCATTGAGTTTCCGGTAGCACAGTATTGTGAAAGAATCGCAAATTTTTCGCTTTGGACTGCATTGGTGTGATAGAAACGACATCATGTTCATCATTATATACTTAATAGCAATACTGAAAACAACGCCAAATTAGTGATTCTATAAACTAGGTAGAAATGGGGCTTTATGGTCCCGGAATAAGTCAATTTCTGGCATAATCACTTCAAGACATACATACGTTGTACTTCCTTTTTATAAAGCATATTTATATACATTTAAGAATGTATAGCACAATAGAGTTTTTGCACTTTTAAGAGTTGAAAATCTATATAAGGAACTATTTATCTAATTATCAGAGCTAGCACCCAAGTTAAATAATTCAAATCGAAAGGCTTTAAATTTATGAATAAGTTAATAATCATCTTTATTAGTGTTGCCTTGGAATTTTAGTGTTGGACTTTTCCATTACATATTTGTACGATTATCAACATATAGATAATGCTTCCGTATCGATCATAAAATTAAGGCGCTTAGTTGAACATTTTATAGTCATCACATATGATTGAAAGTTATATAAATCGAAAATGAAACCCATAATAGTTTTGTACGAATTATGTAGAGAATGTTTCAATAAAAATTTGAATTTACGAATTTAAATATCTTTTAAATTTCTTAAATGTGCCTGAGAATTGAAAGAGTGTCTTAAAAGTCGTTTCTCCTTTTATTTTGTTAGTTTTCAATTCATAATATTACAAAAATAATTATTCCTATGATTGTTGAAAGAAATACCTTTATAAAAAGGTGTTTTTTTTTGCAATACTGTATTAATTAAGTTAATCTTTTAAATCTTTTGAAAATCTTAAGAACTAAAAATATATCGTTACGATATTCATCGGAAGTACTCACAACACTTAGCGAATAAGCGAACCTCGACTATCGATAATAATAGATGGAAGTGCTCGGTCACACTGCATTGCTAACGCGCCATTAAAGTGTTTTGTTTTTATTTATTTTTGATTTAAGGTTCTATAGTTACGCTTGTAAAGCTCACTTGCACTATGTATAAACAATTTAAAAAACGATCGAAGAAACCTTTGAACACGATCGATGAGAACGCGACCATGAAAGTGCCCGTAAGTGGACATACTGACCTGTAGGAATTTGGAACTCCATTTCCTTGGCCAAAATCTGTATTTCAGCGCCTGGCGGAGACGACCACAAATATTTCCGTTGAGTCCTCATCCGGCGGGAGCGAGGACAACATACCCGCCTCCCAGGAGCACACGCAGCGCTTCCTGTCGCAGCACAGTGCGATCCTGGCCGCCACTCTGGGTCGCACGCAATCCTCCAACCGGAACTTTGCGACGCTCTCCCGGCAACCGAACAACTTCTTCGAACTGGTCCTGGTTCGAGCAGGTGTCCAGTTGGACCAGGGTGATAGCCTGATCCTGGCCTGCGATCATGTCTCCATAGTCTCCAAGCTGCGGGACATCTTTACGACTGCCACCTCATATACCGACAAAATGGAGACATTCAAGACGGGCCTGAATGCTGCCATGGCGCCCGACTCGAAGCTGGTGCAGAAGCTACTAACCGGCTGCACCGTGGACGCAGCTGGCGAGGAGCAGATCTACCAGTCCCAGAACAGCATCTTTATGAACTTCCTCATGATCGACTTCATGCGAGATGCCTGCGTGGAGGTGCTGCTGAACAAGATCGAGGAGGTGGCTACAGCCGATCGAGTCATCATGGGTAAAGCAGCTATTCCCCTGCCACTGCTACCCCTGATGCTGACCCAACTGCGCTACTTGACCGCCTCGCACAAGGTGGAGATCTACAGTCGCATCGAGGTCATTTTCAACAGGGCCACGGAATCGGCAAAGCTGGACATCATAGCCAATGCTGAGTTGATACTCGATGCCAGCATGCACGATGAGTTCGTCGAGCTTCTAAAGTAAGAAAAAATATTCCAAGCAGATCAGAATAATTTCTAAGCCCGTTACTCGTAGAGTGAATTCCATAGATATACCAAAATATTTCAAACTCGCTCACTTTTTGTCACGCCCACGATTTTTCGATTTTGTTTATTTTTCTTTTTTATTTTTGATACATTCTACGGGTATGTCTAGTAAGGTGTATCTAACAGTAGAGAAAACCGACTAAAGCATTTTTATTAATGTAATAATTTAATTTCGTGGCAGCATTAACTATTCCAGCACTGAAGACCTCTTTCACATGACTACGGTGCAAACTCTGAGCAACTTATCGCTTTCGGACAGAACGCAGGCCAAGTTACGACTGCGCATTTTGGACTTCGCCACAAGTGGCCACTGTTCCGATGCGGTGATTTGAAAAAAATTGATTGATACTGGATTTTTATTTTAATTTATTGATATCTTAGGCATTGCCACATCTTATAAGGCTGCTGCTAAACGTTCTGAAAATGGACACAGATGACAGCGTGCGCGACGTAAGACTCTTTCTCCTTTCTCTTTGCCTCGAGTTTCAGTTCGTTCAAATTCAGTTGATAGGCACCTTACGAGAAATCTTCAACTGGCGTCATACAATTGCGAGGGAAGAAAACTCGGAAAGAGGCGACAGTAAGCAGTCTCAGCTGGAACTTTTCAGCTTCCTAGAACTAGGATTAATACGCTCGAAAAAGTTTTATCAAGCATGCCAAAGGTCATCTGCTGGTGTGCCTGCTGAAGAATTCACGTAAGTAGCTGGATTTTCTAGTACGAATACAGTGTTTAAATCATTTATTATATTTGCCTTATTTGCAGCTCCTTAGACCTTATACTTTTGCTTTTGTTGATACATGTTAATGAAGACAATGCATTGTACATCGAAAACATTGTAAGTATTGCTTAATTAATGAATATATGTAGATATCTAATTAAATTATAATTATTTTGTTAGCTTCGTCGTCGAATTAAACTGGAGCACATAACAGTGAGCATTTTGGAAGAGATACGACTGCATTATCGACATATCTTGGAGCAGCACATAACTACACTGATGAACATCCTTCACGACTTTATGCGAGAGAAAAATCGCACTGTGTCCGATTTCGCCAAGTCTTCATACAGGTAACCATCGAACTTTAAAGAACTTTAAAGTTATTTTCAAACGTATGACTTTGTTTCTTGCAGTATTCTTTTTAAGATTTTTAACTCGATCCAAAAAAATATCCTAAAGAAGCTGTTGGAGCTCACCTGTGACAAATCATCGCCCCATCTGACAACAATGGCACTGGAATTGCTTCGTGAGCTTCAAAGAAAGAGCGCCAAGGATGTTCAGAATTGCGCCACTCTTCTTATTCCCATGCTGGATAGGATAAGTGATTTAACTCTAACACAAACGCGCGTTGCTATGGACCTTCTGTGCCATGTTGCCTTTCCGGATCCAACCTTATCGCCCTGCCTGCAACTCCAAGAGCAAGTTGATATGGTGGTTAAAAAGCAGCTGATCAATTCCATTGATACTATTAAAAAGCAGGGCATAATTGGCTGTGTGCAGCTCATCGATGCAATGGCACGCATCGAGAATGATGGTGTTGAGCGTGACGACCTTATAGCCAGCGTGGAAAACGTCGATTCGTTGCCCGATGGCCGAGGCAAAATGGCAGCCAACCTAATCAGTAATATAAAATTTACATACTTAAAACTGTATATTAATATTTTCTCTATGCAGTACGAACCGAGTCATCAATAGGAAATAGTACCGAGTCCTTAGCCCTGTTTTTTGAAGAACTGGCCTCGGTTTTCAATCAGCGCAATGAAGGAACCACCGGCTGTGACTTGGACTACCAATTCATTGCTTGGGTCTGTGACTTAGTGACATTCCGATTTCAGGCAAGTTTTGTCACAGAGGATGTTCCCGAGACTTTAAAGTATGTGGTGACTTGTAGACGAATATGTCGCTAATTTAATCTGATTTTAAGGGGAATTAAACTGGAATATCAGTTAAATATCAATGAATTGGACGATACAAACGTAAACACTGAATCGGATGTCCTTAATATTGGCATAAATATATCAAAACTGGTTTTATCACCGAAAGCAAAGTGAGTTCACTAAATCCTTGTTTAATTAATTTAATAAAGCTTGTGTATTTTAACGTTATCCACTTACAGAGCCTGTGACTCAATATACATGCTGGCTCCCCTGTTCAACTGTGTCAGAGTGCTGTACAAACATCGCCACCATGACAGCTTAGAGAATATCAATGCCTTGCTAGGCTGTGCCATTGTGTTGCCCTCATTCTTTGAGGATGACAACTATGTGCCCGTTTTTGACAACTTTGAGGCGGAGCAGCAAAAAGATATACTGAGCATTTATTTTCACACCGTCAATTGGATGAGGGTGTCGATCAGTGCGTTTGCATCACAACGTGATGCTCCCACTCGGCGTCGAGTTCTTTCAAGACTCGGAGAGCTCATACGTATCGAACAAAGAATAAAGCCCCTCCTGGCTAGAGCGCCTGACGACTTCGTGGCACCGCCATATCAGTTCCTCACCAACGCCAAGCTATCAACTCAGAATCTGAAACGTCCAGGACCTAAACCAGCTGCCAAAATGAACGCAACTCTACCAGAACCAGATTTAACTGGTAATCAAACAACGATCGCAGACTTTACCATTAAGGTTGGACCGTGCAAGACCATTAAGACGAAGACTGACTTTGAGCAGATGTATGGGCCCCGAGAGAGGTACAGGCCAATGGAAGTGGAAATCATCATGCTATTGGTCGAGCAGAAGTTTGTTTTGAACCACCAGCTAGAGAAGGAGCAAGTGGGGGAGTTTCTTGGTCTCCTGGAGTTACGTTTCCTACTGGAAGACTTGGTTCAAAAACTTGAAGCAGCAGTACTTCGACAGCACGATTCTTTTGATGTGGACAGTTTTAAGCCTCATTTGTCCAAACCGGAGGATTTTATTTGCGATTTACTCCCATGTCTACATGAGGTGAATAATCACTTAATAACCCTAGCAGAAGCCATCGACAATGAGCTCACGAAAGTCAATCATGTGTACAGCAATCTGGATCTGTTTAAAGAGAAATTTTGCTATATCAAATCGTGTTTTGGGCTGTGCGTCCGTCTGTTCGCCTTGTACTTCGCCTGGAGCGAGTGGAGCGATAAGTCGCAGGAACAACTGCTCCATAGTAAGCTTTTTTAAATTTTCCGCAAACCTTAAAATGTAATGTAACTTTTCTGCAGAGTCTTTGCTAAAACTACAGCCTCAGGCCAAATGGAAGAGCCTAGAGAAGCAAAGTGTTCCTCAGCTGGCAACCCTGACCTTTCAATACTTTCTAAAATATGAGAAATCTGTCTTGAATCTTAGTACTGCGGTCCAGCTTCATCGATTGTTGTGTAACTTATTGAAGCTGGGGAGTTTGCAAAGTGATGCTAGCCAACCGAGATTTCAGCAAGCCGAGGATTTACGTAAGCACTAACCCTAATTATGTAGTGCAATTTTAGAATTTTTACTCACGCAGGTATACTGTGTGGCACTCTGCTGCGCCGTAAATGGTTCCACTACGCTGGTACCTTGGACAAAGGCGGACAGTGCAATATCTATTTGGACGAGCTGATCAAGGGATTTCTAAAAAAATCGACTTCCAAGAGTCAAACCGACCTGCTTAGTGAGCTGGTTAAACAATGCAACATACTGAATACGAAGGACAAAGCCCTGACTTCCTTTCCCAACTTTAAAAAGTAAGAAATCCGATTGACCCCTTTTCTTATGTTATATTAATGCTTCATCCTAGGGCCAACTTCCCATTACTCTTTCGCGGACTGTGCGAGGTCCTTATTCACTCCCTAAGTGGTCAAGTTAGCGTCGACCGTCATGGTGATAGATTGAAGCTATGGGAGTCTGCAGTGGATTTGTTGAATGGCTTGCTCAGCATTGTGCAGCAGGTGGAACAGCCAAGAAATTTTGGGCTGTTTCTGAAACACTCCCTGTTATTCCTTAAGTTGCTGCTTCAGCACGGAATGTCTGCGCTGGAATCTATTGTTCGGGATGATCCTGAAAGGCTAACAAGGTTTTTGCACGAGCTCCAGAAGGTGACACGCTTTCTGCATCAACTCTGCTGCCATTCCAAGTTCATTAAAAATACTGCTATCATAAGCTATATTCCCAGCCTTCGGGAGACGATTGAGACGCTGGTCTTCCGAGTGAAAGCCCTTTTGGCCGCCAACAACTGTCATTCTGCATTTCACATGGGCAATATGATCAACAGGGATCTCCACGGAGATTCTATTATAACACCAACGAGTTCCTTCGCCGGCGAGGAAAACAGCGACGACGAATTACCTGCGGACGACACCAGCGTAGATGAAACTGTCTTGGGAGATGACATGGGTATCACCGCCGTAAGCGTGAGCACGAGGCCGAGCGACGGTAGTCGCCGTAGCAAGTCCTCTTCCCGCAGCAAATGCTTTTAAATAGCTTAATAAGCCAAGATTTTAAATAAATCAGTGACGTTGGAACTGAGTGATGGCCTTTCATTTGTTTAGTCTAAAACTGAGCAGACGACGATCTTAGCATTCTTTATTTATTTCATTTCATTATCTGGATGCAATTTTATTTAATTTTCGTATTACAAATAATAACAAATGTATGTATATCAAATATTTTAGTACAATATGCTTCTTTTCATTTATTTTCTCGTTAACAATAATTGTTTATTAAGACGTAAAAGTTGTTCTCCCATTTTTCTCACATTCGGCCTTCCACTACGATGAACTCTGATTGTTTATTTGTATTATTTAATTTTCATTTGTTTTAATCTCGTAATAATTGGCGACGTTACGTTCACGGTTTATGAATCTCTTTCATACGTGTGGTATGTATGCAAATGTTTTGTGATGTATATCAATTGGTAGTTTATAAAAAGGGGTTTAAAATCAATCAAGTATAATTGGTTATATATGTAATAAAAGAGCAAGAAAACACACACAAACTATAAATTTAAAGTAAAACAAAAATGGTCTATGCAAAGTTAATCCTAACGTGTGTGTATGTATGCCTGAAACAGATATTGTCTTCATACAAATCAAGTGTTTTGTTTTTTATATTTTGTGTATCAAAGTAGAAACAATGTTGGAATCTATCCAAAGGTATCAGATCCTTGCATCCACTGCCACTGTCCTTCATCTTTCTTTATAAACAGGTGCGCTTGATTAAGCCGATTCTTGAAATATACATGAAACGATTTTTTTTGCTGAAAAGGTTTGGAAAATAATTTGGAATAGGTCGAAATAGTGTGTATATTTCAATGTACAATACAATCGTGTTTTTTGATTTATTAATTTTTATTGTTTTCTTTATTTGCCAATTTTTCAAAACTTAAAACATTTTACACAAATTAATTTTAAAAATTTTTAATACGTACGCAGTCTGTTTAAAAGTAAAGTTAGATTATACACTCCTACGCCTACATATACATTATATACTCAAATATATATATTTATAGAGAAAGATATATATTTATTGTATATATAGATTTAGTAATTATGATTAAATCTTGCCTTTGCATCATCACAATTCATGTAAAGTTTTTCATTTTTTTCGCTCAGTTTCCATGCGCAGTTTGCAATTTGTTGTCCACTTTGCTTTCTTTCATGATTCCTCTCAACTTTATTTTTTATTTATTTATATTCAGTATTCTGTTGCTTTTGTTAAAAGTTGAAATTTACACACGTATACAATTATTGTTATTGTTATTAGATGAAAGATAATTTTGCTTGCGCTCCTCTTCACAATACACAAAAATTTTAAACCAATTAAACAGCTAAACAAATTAGTTCTTTAAGTATTTAACATTAGTGATTTATGTTAGGTCGTACAAATATTTTGCTAAAAATTAATATTCATAGTTTAATATATATAACATACTATTGAAAACTTAAGCGCACAAACAAAACTAAATATTCAAATTAAAAACTAATTTTGCCAAACGTTTTTGCTTTCCCGAAAAATTAAAACAAAAATTACAAATTACAATATTTAACACAATTAGGGGTTTTGGGAGGTATGGGTCAAGGGGTGGGTGGGCTTGCAGGAAAATTTGGTCCTCCAAAGAAATGTTTTCTAAATAACGGCACATAATTTTGGTAAAAATTTTACACTCAATTTTTGAATCGAAATCGATAAACATGAACGGATTGTGTAACAATTTGCCAATTGGGTTATAGATTTAGTTTAGTTTTAGTTTACAATAGAAAAAACACATTAACAATAAAAACTTACAAATTAAATTACAAATTTAAAACAATATAAAATCAGTACAGTTATCGAATTAAACAAATCGTTAAAATTAATTATATTTATATATTTGCAATTTGAATTGGGTTCAAAGGTTTTAAGTCACCAAATGTGGAAATTTCCAGGGCGAAAAGTCGAAAATTTTGCATGCAAAAAGACGCGGCGTTATAGAATTTTCATAATTCACTTATCAAATTAATTTATTTGTTGTGTTTGTGTGTGTTTAAGAAAAAAATGATTAAAGTTTTAAAATTATTTCTCCGTTTCTTTTTCGAAGGCAACAGTCAATTGCAGTTGCGTGAAATGCTCTCTCAATAAAAAGTAAAATATTCAAGGAAACTCATAGGGAAACTTATCAAAAATAAAAAATGGGTAAGTAGTAAATTTTAGTAATTTGTCTCTTGTTATTGTAGTTAGAAAATGGCGCACGCTTCTCATCATCCCCTACAACGACAGTTTACTTTACTTTAATAATTATGTGTATATGTGTGTGTGAGTGTGTGTATGTGGTGTTACTAAATTTAAGCTTAACTATGGTCATTTAGAATTTGTTGTATATATTCTCTTATTGTTTGCGGTTAATATTATGTATTTAAAGTTCTTTGCTGGTTGGCAAATTTTGCGCAAGTTTTAATTCATTATTATTTCGATTTGTTTTATTTTTTACTTTAGGCAACTGTTTGGTGTGTGTGTGTGTCTGTGTATGTGTAATTTAAATTTAAAAAAGTTATTGTTTAGGCTTATGCTGAACAATGTTCATAGATACGTTTTAAAACACACGCGTCTTCATCAACTGCCAACAGTTTGTATTTTGCTTTATACTTGAGTTCAAAATTGGAAGTATTCTTTCGTTAGTTTAAAACTAATTTATATATTTTTGTTTTTTACATTTATTTATATTAATTAACTTTTTGCTTTACTTGAGATCTAGCAATAGCGGAAACGTAAACGACAGGGTTCTTCGTTCAACCAAACAATTTTGTTGTCGAAATTTTGCAAAATAGAACAGAAAACGGGCAAGTTTGTTTCAATAATTTTCCCTATACGAGTATAAACGTATTTTGACACGTGTGTGGCTTTAATTTTTTTTAGGCATGGAGCTAGTTTAAGTTTGCAAGTCAGCTTGATATATTTTAGTTAATCTTAGGGCTGTGTTTTCTTTAGTGTTATCTGTGTGCGTAGCAGTTACGGATGAGTAAAGGAAAGTGGGAAAAGAGTTTTATCTGAATTTGATATAAGTTAAGAGGACTTTAATAGAATTCCTAGCTGTGTTTTAGTGTTTCTAGTGTTTTAGGTCGTCTGCTAATTCGCACTTGAGCGTTGGCTAATTGATTTTATAGTTTTAGTTCTCATGTGTTAATATTAAGTATGCGTTAGTGTTATTAAAATTTATAATCAATTTAATTTAGGTTTGTTATTTTACTGGTTCGTGATGTGTTTACTCCGCGTCTGTGTTCTGTTTTCTTCCTAATTCGTTGCTTCGATTCGCAGACATTAGTCACATTTGTGTTGATTTGCGATTTTGATCTGCCTATCAGTATTATCAGTGAGTTTAGGTGTAGTTTTGTATGTGTGCAATTACTTAGCTCTACATATTTTTGTTTACTTGCGACAGATAATTGATTTGAAGTTGCCTAAAACTTACGTTTTTAAAAAATAGTCGGTTTTCAAATTTATGCAGAAAGTCTTGCCAGTTGCCGTCGCCAGTCGCATTATATAACAATGCTGGCTGCGTTTTAATTTTTGTATTTGCTTATCGTTCTCATCTCAACTCACTCCATCTAATTAATAATTTGTTGTTTTTGTTTACTTTTGTCAGTCAATGTTCCTCACTAAGCTTTGCTTTTCATCTTGAATCTGAGCCTGATTTCTGTCTATATATGTTTTCCATATGTATCTAGCTTCAGCGCTCGCAATTTTCCAGTACGCATATAAATGTAGTAAAATGTCTTCGAGTCGAATTGATTTTGAATTTGCCTGCTTTCGTTTTTTTTTCAATGTATAAAAGGGTGCTACATGCTGCTTAAGATTTAAAATCAATCTGTACGGGCTTAGACTGCTCTCTCTATATAGTTATAGATAAATATATTTTATACTTTGAAATTTTCGTATAGGTTTTGCTATATATGCTCAATTATTGTTTCAATTTCGAGTTAAAAACGCTATGAGACAAAATTCCTTATACACTTGTGAACTTTTAAAACGATTTTACTTTGGTTTATCTAAGTTGTGAGGCTGACGCTTTTTAAAAATGTCTTGGGAGAATCTGCTAAACTGTGGTTTTGCTAAATGAAAGGATTTCGTTTAAAATGCTCTGCTGCAAGGGCTATTTAGTGATTACATACAATACATATACTCTACTCGACATATTTGTTGCTGCTATTGCTGATTTCTTGACTTGATTTATGGTTATTTTGAGGGACGAAATCTACGGCGTTCATAGCAAAAGAACTAAGTTCGAAACGAATCTCTTTAACAATGCTTTTGAATTGCGGCTAATTGCGGTTCTTATACCTTATATTGTTTCTGGAAAATTAAACTTATTGCTCTTAAGAACGGTTGCTATTTGTTTTACTATGACGCGAAGGATTCGATTCTTCTCCAGGATGTCGCTCGGAGAATGTTGTTATATATTTTTGTGGCTGTAACTTCCTTGTGTGGTTGCTTTTGTTGCTGTTGCTGTTGTTGTTGTCGTTAATGATGCTTTTATTGATTGAATTGGGTTGCTGTGTGGTTTTAACTCCATGCCGAAAACGTATCCATGTACCACTGTTCACCATTGGTGCCTAAAGGTTGCTGTGGTAGCGGTAAACTGCCCCAACTGCCGCCATTTCCTATTAAACCGCTCGGGTAACGTCGCTTAACATCTGCCGGATTTTGGTGACCTCCATCGAACTTACGTTTACCGACTACTGCGGATGGGTGACCGCGATCGGATTCGGATTCGGAATTGGCATTTGTATTGGTTTTGGTATTGGCATTGGTATTGGTGTGGGGCGGCATTCGGTTGATTTTTGGTGTGCGTTGTGTGGGATGGGTGGTGTTGGGTGGTGGAGTTTTTCGAAAGAAAAAAAAGAGAAAGAGAGTTAAAAATGTTGTTAATACAAAAATGGTTCAAAATTGTTGCTATTATTTCTTTGTTTTGGTCTTGGTTGTTTTCGGTTGGATTTAGTTCAACTGGTCTATGGTTCGAATGGGTTTTCTTGACGTTGTTTAGTTATTTTAGTAGCACAATTTGATAATTTTGTCCAGGGGATGGTCGTTTGAGTGTTCCAAAACATCAAAAAGACAACACGTTTGATCATGGTTCATTTAATTTATCTCATCATTGGTTATACACATCACAAATCGGGGAATCGTGTAACTCGACATAACGCCAGGGACTTGGGACTTGTTTACATGTACAAATATATAGTGTTTGGGTGTGTGACTATGAAGTTAAGTGCATTAGTGTATTTGTATGTATGTGGGTGTGTGGGGTTAACAATTACCAAACGTGTTCTTTTTGTAAGTAAAACATTGTACATGATATTATCGCCTGATACATGGAACATGGAACACTTAGCACAGCTAGCATGATTGGTAGCGGCGATAACTGGGGTTGGGTTACAAAAGGGATCGTCCGCCAGATCGATGGATCCCTGGACCGAAGAACAGAGCGCTGTACTTCAAGGAGTCTGGGTTATTCGTGTATCTATAAGTGTAGCGGGTCTTGAAGAGTGTGCGGGCGGGCTTTGGTCCACTTCTAGTTTTGCAATTTTGAATTTGGCAAGGTCTTTCGGGGTCTGTTCGCAGGGCTGAACTGATCTGATCTGGCGCTAAGGATTTTGATGCTGCACGTTCTTGACGAGGGACGAGAGATGCGTGATGTGTGATGAGTGTTCTTGAATTCGCCTCGATTGCCAATGACGAGATTCTTCGTTTGGATTTGATTTAGAATGAAAGTTGATATGATCACAATGAATGTGTGGAGTGTGAAGTGTGCTTTGGATACAGACTGGTGTGGGCCTGGCCCACTAACGAATTTGGTTTATTCGGACTTCCGCTTGGATTTCTTTTCTTTTTCGGGCCGAGACGACTTGGACTTGTGGGTATGCTTCTTGGACTTGTGTGACTTGTTTTTGCTATGTGAGGACCTATGGACTTTACGCTTCTTCACCGGAGAGCGACTCTTGTCGCTGACCAAGGAGGTCGTCGATGAGCTACGCTTAATTACCCTCCATGAATGTCTTGAGTGCAGCTCCAGCTAGAAACAGATTTAGGTTTTGGATTTTGGTTTGTTTTGTTTTGCATTCATTTGTAGGTTTAGATTTTTGGATTTGCTTATATATTTTTTGCTGATACAAAACAAAGCGTTCGTTTGTATATGGCAATGAGCATGTCTGTGTGAAGCATTCTTACAAAAGAACATAATAAAAAGGAGTCTTCCTTGAGGGCAAAAGTATCTACGAATACAGCCACAAAAATGTAAAGCGTGTTCAAAACGGAAGCAGGTGTTGGGTGTTGGGTGTTGGGTGATTGGTGAAAGGGTGAAAGGTTGGGGGCTCGCTTCTCGAGGTCAGCACGCTTTTGCCAGACGGTGTTAGTCAACCCACGTTTTAGTGTGGCAAAAGCGTGATCTGGTTGGGGTTTTCCGCTATATGTATATTGGCAACAAATTATAACACAAATTGGTTGGTGTGTGTGTGCGTGTTGTAAACATAATACACGAATCGATTAGTATTTGTTCATACGTAAAGTAAATAAAAACGATCTCAGTTGGCATTGGTGTCACCCGGTGTGTGGATATGGTATGTATGACAGGTTAAAGGAGGTTATATTATACATACATATTTAGGTCATATGGGTATACAAGTGTGTAGGTTACTAAACTATTTTTATTTTTCATTATTTGTTTTGGCTTTGCAAAGCATGATGGATAATTAATTAACAAGACTCACAATTCGATATACATAAAATCACAAAATATTATATGTATATGGTTAAAGTAATGGGCTAGAATATAAGTAATGTATAAATAAAGGTTTTATATTTAGACTTGTGCAATCGCAATCGATCAGGACAATCTTAAAACGCGTTTCATTTGTATAAGTATATTATTTGTATCGCGGGGCGAAAAACGACAAAAAATTATATACACGTACGTCAAAATTTTGGAGTGGGCTTTTTGGATCTTTTCGGGGGGATGGACTCTTTCGATGGGCTGTTGGATGGGTTAGGGACAAACATTGAAAGTAATCGCAACGGAGAAGTGTGCTAATCATGATTAATCAGCTCTCCCACTCGACTCCTCTTCGACTCTCTATGCGGCTTAATTAGTAGGTGACAATAGATTCAAAGGATTCTGTGCGTAGGTGGTGGTAGGACATAAATACTAATCGATTCATAAACGTTTACAGACATAGCTCAAATATAGTTAGGTACGTACATATCAAAGACAATATGCGTATGTATACAATAACTCAATTTGTTATAATGGCTTTCCATATACATAGGCGATGTTTGTTTCAGTGTGTGTGTGTGTGTGTGTGGGGGGCGTATCTAATGGGCATGGCTGCTAATTGCTGCTTACAGTTGGATGGGAGTTAAAAAACAAAGTCAAGGCATGCATCAAAAATTGTAGCATACATCTCAGCGCCGAACAAGTAATGAAAATCAAAGTGAACCGCAATTGTAAGCAGCAAGGAGACAACTGGTACGATGACAAGGAGACATTTAGGTAAAGAATTGAAAAGTTTGATTATTGGATAACAAAGTATAAAAATAACCAAATGGTTTAAACTTTACAACATTTAGAACAGTTACAAATGCGATACACACGACATTAAAGTGATTGTATTTTTTGGGAATTCGGATAGGGGGATGATTCACACTATCTTAAAATCTCTCGTTGTGGTCGTTTTTGTATTGGTGCGCGTGAAGAGTGTGTGTATGTTGTTTGGGGGTGTGGGTGGTGTTTCGTATGCATGTTTACATATTACTTGGTTTTACTTATAATTGAATTGAATTTGACATTTGCAATGTATAGATTCTCTCAAGTTTGACGCTGTTGTTTGGTTTGATTATGCAGATTTCACTTGGCGCAGGTTGTTGGGATTCGATTTGGTTTTTGGTTTGATTTGGTTTGAATTTGATTGGTGGTTTTTTGTTGATTGGTTTGGTTTAATTTTGCTTGTTTTTGTTGAGGTGTAGTATTTTTCTGAGACTGGGATACGAGTAGTACGTTCTTTGTGTTTTGTTGAGCTCACCTGGTAAATTTTGTAGCGGCTTGACGTGCTGGGTGCCACGAGCGCTGGGACGCGTTGGCACCACCCCACGGACCCCCCCGGTTGCTGCCGGCGCCCCCTGACCGGTGGCCCCCCGCTGAGCTACCGCCGCCGCCGCCTGTCCCGCCGCCGCTGCCGCTGCCGCCGCCTGTGGCGCTGTTTGGGCCCCCAGACGACTGATGCTGCCACGTTGGCCAACGACTCTGCCACGCGGCACTGTGATTCCATGCCCACGACCAACTCCCTACACATCATTCGCATCGTCATCATAGTGATAGTGATCAGTATTTTAGGTCGTCATCATCATCATCATGGTCATTATTGCATGCATTGGTTGCGATTGTGGGATGGGGTGTGTGTTGTCGGTGTACGAGTGGTGTTTTGAGTGAGTGTGTGTGTGTGGAGTGGTTGGTGGTTTAAGAGCATGTGTGTTGCATTTCCAGATTCGGTTCCATTTTCCATCATTTTCGGTTATCCATCGGCCGTTGGTTTGGTTTTGCGTTTTAATTTGCGTTTTGATATCGGGTATTTGGGTTTTGAGATTTTGGTTCGAATATTTGCGTTTACAATTTTCCAATAGCATAAGCATGTTTTTCAAACATTAATTCAATGTGTTTGTATATATATGGATCGCCAAGATAATTGTCAAATTTTGGTCATTTCAAATTTCGAATCGAACGAAAGAATAAGCAAAATAAAGAACGTTTTTGAATTTGGATTTCGAATCGATGAGAATTTCGAATTTGGAGCGGTTGCGTTGTCGGAATGGGGTCAGAAAAACGGTATTCGTTTTGGTTTTGGAATCGAAAGGTTAACGATAGATTTTGGTTTTAGATTTGGTCGTTTGGTTGGTGGTTGATTTTCGTTTTGATTTGAATTTAGGTTGGTGGCAGAGATAGAGTTGGCAATTTTAATGTGGGTTGGTTTTTTTTTGGTTTTGACGAACATATATATAATTTTTTCAAGATTTGTTGTATTTTGTCATATTGTACCGAAAAACAAATTAATTGTTTGTATATAGATAAGTATATAACAAGAACACATAAAAAGAAAGAAAAGAAAAGAAAAATCGAAATAAACGCGTTAGATTCTTGGTGTAAAACTGGTTGTTTGATTGTACACATACACGATGTAATGTATGCATATAAAGTATGTATTATTTATATAGAAATTACTAGATGTATAGATACTGTTCTCTGTATTCTGTGTAGACTGAGTGAGCATTTAACTAGTCAATTGGGTATTATAATATACTTATAACAACGGATCTGGGTCACTTGAATCGTTCAAGTCCAAGCAACAAAAGTTTTGCCTCTTGCGATTGACACAATATTCAAAAAAGAACTTTACCATGTTTGTAAATTTGTTTTATATAACGTAACTAAAGTACAATAAGCGTATGCGGTTAATTGGATTAAACATTAAAGCGTTGCGGTGGATACAATAAATAAATGAGTAATTTCACATAAGGTGCGCAATCGTAATAAAAAGCGCTTCACTTAATCGCTAGAAATTAATTAAAATTAAAACGTCAGCACGCCGTGTTCAGCTCATAAATATAATAGTTAAAATGATTACTTCGGCCTTCCGGTGGGTGATGCAATTAAAATTATAAATAATTAAGCAGGTAGGGTATACGTACAAGCAAAGCATAAGCGTAAGTTAAGCGTAATAAAGCACCGTTTGTTATTAATTTCTCAATTGCGTTGTGGCGCGTCGAGTCCTTAAATTATTGGATGATGGGTATATTTCCATGGGTGTGTTAAGCGATAGAAGGCGAAACAAGCAACAAATAATCCTTGTTCCGGCAATGGGCGTGCACGTGTGTCTGTGGGTGTTGTGTGGGCGTGGCATGGCTTTTGGGTGCATTTTGGGTGAGTAGTGGGTGTTTTCATTTTTTGGTGTAATTTGGCAGCAAGAGACGTGCAAATTTTGACTTCATAAACGAAACAAAGAGAACAATTTTTGGGGAAATAATGTAAAGCCAAATGATGAAGCGTTTGTTAAATAAATCAAAGTACGAAATACGAAGTACAAAGTAAACTAGCTACAAGAGAGGTAGGCAAACATCTGAGGGCATTTATGTAAGTATAAATCAAAATTAACTCTACAAATCTTGTGTTTCTGTGTGCGTTGTGTTCTTGATCTGTTTTCAAATTATACACCGATTCGACAGGATCTAATAATCGAGTTTCGATTCAATAAAACGCACCATAATGCTCGAGGAACCACTGGGACCACTGGCCGATCCTCTGGCCGATCGCTGTCCACTAGCCAGCGGAGAATTCGGGGAGCCGCCGGCCGAGACCGGAACCACCGTACCGCCGGACACACTCCCTCCCCCGCTGCCCCCGCCTCCGTTCGAGTAATCATAGTAGTTGTAATCCGCATCATACGAGCGGTACAGGTCCTCGTAGAAGGACTCGTTGGCAAAGACCCCTTGGCGATAGTCCGAGAAACCGAAATAGTCGTAATAGTAGTCTAGGGGGTTTAGGTAGGGATAGGGATTAGGATTAGGATTCTGAATGGAGACATATCCCCCTCCGCATACCTATGTACATATACCTAGCTATCATATGCTGCCAATTGTTCACTTTGCCAATTTGCAATCGAATCGGGCGCGTACTGAACGCAACAAGATAGTCGAGGGGATAGATGGTGGATTAGTGCTATTGTCTGTGGTTGTTGGGTGGGTTGGTTTCTTGGTGGTTTAGATGTCACACTGACACACGCGATCGAATCGGTACGGTATGTGGCTTAAGTAGACGAGACTTAGGGTTACTTACCGGTGATATAACATCAAACAGTATACAGGGTGCTTAACATTCGCTACACAGAGAACACAATTGCAACATTTAATTATCGTAAACAACTATGGACAACGTTTAAGGTTAAATGTCTATGTCTATGTCTATATGCTTTGGTTATGGGTTGAGTGTGTGTTCGTAATGCCCTGCACTTGCGACACAGAGAGTTCGGATCGGAGGTTCGAGGGAGTCCGAGATGGATTATAAAGAACAGCGGAAAGTAAAACTGGACAACATCGATAAGGAAATAAACACGGGCATGCAAATAAACCGAGGATAGTAATTACTGTGGAAATAAACGTAGCATCGACATATAACTTGCAAATGCGAGAGTATACAAATAAGAAAGAAACAACATTTACGATTAGTCAGATGTGAAAAGTAATAGAATTCGCTGAGAAATGGTTACACTCGGTTACTTCAATTGATTGCCAATGGTTGTCGGAGATCTTAAGGTTAGTGGTTAGTGGGTTAATCTCGATCTAGCTGGATACGTTTTCTCACTCGACTGGGACTCGAGGGCCGAGGGCCGAGGGCAGTGCTAAGCGTGACTTTTGGCCTTTTGGGTGAGGGTGAAGGTGAGAGTGAGAGTGAAAGTGGGAGTGTGCTGGCTGGCTGGTGTGTGTGGTTTCTGTTTTGGGGAGAGGGCGATCATACAAATGTTAGTAGATAGCGCGCGCTTTCTAAATCTTAAACAACTTAAACGATGAGGCGAGGAGAAATAAAAACCAAGATAAACATAGGGTAACAAAACGTTGCGTTCGATGGCAGACATGATTAGTGTTAGGATCAGTAGCTGCTGCTGCGGCTTTTCGGTTAGAAACTCGAACTAAAGTCTAAAATCAAACCTAGAAGTTACTGGAGTACTCGATCAATACGCTATGTGTGGGTGGTGTATGTGTGGTGTTAGTGGCGTGTGTAAGTGTGAGTGTGTGAGTGTGCCTAACAACTTGGCTAACTGACTACTACGAGAACTAAACCAAATTAACAAAAGTTATAAAGTAGTTTTTCTCAATTTTATAGAGTCCCAAAAGGGAAGGCGCCTGGGGCCTTGCTCCTCCTCATCAATATTAACATCAAATATCAAACAGCATAGCCCTTGGGCGGCTATGCATATACATACAGAGAGACATCTAGAACACGCACCCGTTGGATGCGGACATATTCACTTGGCAAATTTGCCAAACTTACCGTATTCGCGGGGTATCGGCGTACGCAGCGGCATGCGCGCCCCTTGGAGGCGCATGGGCGTCAAGGACATCATGCTAGGATGTGTCGGCGACAGGTTTCTGTATGGAGACAAGGTTTCAAATCTTTACAAGGTAATCCCACACGCAGATGGCATTTCAATATATGGATTGAGTACGGTTGTATCGGTTTGTTTGGTTTGGTTTGGTTTGGTTTGTTTTTGGTTTTGGTTTGGTTTAAATTGGTGTCATGTGCGAGGGACAACAAAGTATTTCATTCGCGTGTCGGGCAATTGGCAAAGAAAGAAAGAAAACAATAACAGAAAATATAAGTATAATTAAACAACTGCTTTAAGTGGTGGCGACTTGAAAAGCAAACAGACATTAGATATTTTTAATTTGGATTTAGCCGAAATAGAATGTCCCCCAAGGGATTGCATTAAGTGAATGCATTTGAGTTTAGTTATTTTTGGATTTTGCGCCAATCTGTGGTAATGTTGGTGTTGCTGTGCTAGACAAGTTTTTAGATAGAGTGTTCTGGCAGGGAATTAAGAACAGAACAATGCTAATGGAAATACATACCCCACGATCCCGGGACGCGCTTGCATCATTTGCATCATGCGGCGCTCACGAGCACGCAGAATTTCCTCCTTTTTCTTTTTGTCCGAAGGAGGTTTGGCTAGAGAGACCTGCAAAGATTGCAAGCAAATCGGTTTGAAATAGATGTCCAATAGGTGTCCATAGATGTCTTTTAGTCAAACAACCCACCTCAATATTCGAGGCGCCGATCTCCTTGCCATTAAGGCCACGCATAGCTTCGACGGCGCTATCACGATCCTCAAAGTGTATAAAGGCATAGTCTTTAATTTTCTTAACGCGTTCCACCTTTCCGTATTGCTCAAATTGTTCCTGGTAATCGTGTATTATTAGATTGGAGTTAAGGTTACGGTTTCCAAATGCTTTTACCTTTAGTTTGTCCTCTGAGACGTCCTGGGTCAGATTTCGCACATAAAGAACTTTAACCTTGGACATAGTTTGCTCATCCGGCTCCTCCTGTGGATCGGCCCAGTCGACTATTATATCACATCCCCAAACCTGGTAAGGGATATCTCTTGTTAGAAACTTTATCCAAAATGAATCCCAAATTTGGTCTTACCTTAATTCTTCCTGTGCCAAGTCTTCGTTTGGCCAAAGATGCCGCCTTGTGTGACTCGTATTCAAGAAAGCAAAAACCGCGATTCTTTTTCTTATCATCTGGCGAACTGTATATGATTACCTCGTATAGGCCAGCTATAGGTTCAGATTCGGGATCAGGTTTATTTTTAAATAAAGAAAATATTCATTTGAGTACAGCAAATATAGACCATGTTATCAATTCAAATGCAATATGGTTAGTTGGTTGCATATGTAAAAATTGAAACGAAAGTAATACAACAAAAAAGTATTTGTATCTGCACCGGTATTGGCAGGTGTTTGTTTGTGTGCGAGAATGTTTGAGAGCACAGGTGATAAGACACTGAGACGCACTCGGATCGAGTATATATAAGTAAATGGAATAATGGATTACATTTTGAGAGGAAATGCACAAAATTTACACGGCAATCGAACTGTGTTTCGCTAATTATTTTGCCGTGTAAAGTAATGAGCATATCCGTGATCTGAATCTCTATATAATATGTAGAGCGAATTAGATGATTTTGAAAACCAATGCCAACAATTGCTGCTTGCTTAACTTTTTGAAATATTTTTGAATAATTGAATAATCGAATGCGCTAAGCTAATACATTTTTCGGTTTCGTGTACGAGTATGCGAGGTTCGAGATTTAGAGAAAGTATTACAGAGAGCGGGGATATAACATTAAGTTGGATATGTAGTACGTATAGAGAGTAGTATTGCAAAATGAAACACACATTTAGAAAAACACTTAAAAACCTCTGTTGCTATTGTTTGTTTTTATATAGTACATATTGCAATCAAAATAGGAAAGTAAAAAGGATATATATATATAACCAAAAACACAACACGAAGTAGAGCACACATTGAGCTTGGATTTATTTTCGTTGGAGTTTGGAATAATGGAAACGAAAACGGGAAAACTATACAAACATAGCCAGAGTTAGACAGATTAAGAGATAGAGAGAACGTGTGTACACTCAGATACAAAGAGAGATCGGTAGAGATATAGAGAACAATAACGTAACAACGAAATATGGATATCGGATTTTGAATTTGGCTTAGTTTCTCGTCGATTCGTTTGCATCAATTGCTCGGGGAAGTAGCGCTTATGTGAGAGATAGATACAGAGATAGTTAGAGTAAAATGAGTTCATTTTTAAGGTCTCCAGTCATTAAGTAAATGAATTTCATATATTCAACATGAATGGGCCGAAACATATCGATTTGAGTAGGCGAATTACTGTTTCATATTTTGGTTTTCGGTTTCTGGTTTCTGGATTTTGGGGCGGGATCGTTTGTGTGCGCCGTTTATTATCTATGTGTATGTGATATAGGTCTGCACTAAAACAAAAACTAGGTTTATTCCTTTGGTATTTCCGTTTTTTTTTCTTTCAAAAATATTCAAAATGTTTTGGTTAGCGAATTGTTTAGCTACAGGTTTTCAATGTCAACAAATTGGGCACATTTAACAATCGGAACTTTAAACGAAAAAACTGAAGAACAATTAATTTTTTGTTGTATTTACTAACAGCGCTTAACGCTACAGAAAATGAGAGAATGACGAAGAGGTTAAAATGCAATCGACCCAAGGTCATGGCTTTAACTTGCACATTGGCTAAAAGCCATGTCCTTTCATTTGGTCGCTTGTTAAAATGTTTTAATTTTGTGCGGAAGTATTTGATAATTTCATTCCTTTTGATTTTGGGGTGTAGCATTTTAAAAGCGAAAATTGCAAAACAAAAATCCAATTGATACTTCTTTTTGTAGGCTTCCATGCGTTTTTCAATTCTGCAAGTATCGCCCCTAAAAACATTTATGGGATTAAGTACAATTAATTGGGGTTGGCCAATTCTGGGGGTAGCCAATTAAGGTTGGTTTTTTGGTGCTGGGTTGGTTTTTGGGGTCTTTTGCTTTGTTTGTGGCTGCTGTTGGTTTTTGGATCACTTACGTGCATGTTTTGAAAATTCCTCAATTAATTCGTCGCGATCTCTATTCTTAGGTATATTGCCGACAAATAGCCGGTGATTGTTAAATGATATCGTAACACCAATCTTTTTGCCTATCCGAATTTCATAATCATTTAGCTGCAATTGTTTGAAAGTTCACACAAAACAAAAGAAAATTTTGATTTGCTATGAAAAATTTGTAATTCATTGGTACTGCGATTTGATTTTGGATTGATTTGGTATAGGGCTTGTGGTTTCAAAGGTGGAAGAATGAGCGTTCGTGTTTGATAATAATTCTCATGGGTGGGGTAAGGTGTGGAGTTCTATTATCTAAACTTTAGTAACTTATTTTTCGGTATATTTTGTATTGCGTGCCAAATAAAAATGAATTTACTCAAAAATAACGTTGTTCTTTAGCTAGATTCCAGTTGATGTGATGTGGATTATCGTTGTTACTACCAGTACTAGTACTTACTATGCGAAATAATTACTTCGAAATGAACAAAAAGGGCTCAGTGCAGCTAGAAAGTGAAATGCGACTCGATCTTACCTTAGAAATTTCATGGGAATCGACTTTCTAGCTGGCACACGGCGTATACTTAATATTTATAGATTCAAGAGCCTGCTTTCCTACGGTGTGATTATTATTAAAGAACATAATGGAAATAAAGTTTTGGAATGCATAACGATTTGGTAAAAAATTTAAAAATTTGAATACTTTTTGGTTGGTTCTTTTTCGTAGGCAAAGTTAATGACTGGAGATATTATGTAAATAAGTTAAAAAGAAATATTCTTATACGACATTTCAAGCTTGTAACGAATGGCAATGAGTCAAATGGGCGTGTCGCTGTATCTATGTATGTAAGCGTGTAATAGTATCGGTGTCGTTGTTTATGTGTGCTATATATGAGGCAACATATATGAGGTATGAGGTGATGAGGTATGAGAAATGCATCCGACGATGTTCGTGGTTCGGTTTCTATCATGGGGCGGGAGCGCATTTGAAAAGAGTGTCTCGATTTTTGATTCGGGGGAGATCACTTTTCAATTTTCAGTTTAACTTTCTGAAGTGTAGAGATGGCAATGGCGGATGTTTGGATGGTTGAGGTGGGGGTGAATAGTAAGGATGAGTTCAAAACAATAGCGTATAATAAATTAAACGGAATATATAAAAAAGAAAGCCCTACGACCCTTTCTAGCCTGATCAAGTAGACTTGTTCCCTGCAATTAGCCAATGTTGTTGGTTTAGCCAATTGGATTTTTGTTTACAATTTAGTGCCGATTGCGGAGTGGCGGATCGCAGCTCCAGTGGTGGTAATTTAAAATACATTTTTGGTTAATTTCGTGTTTGTTAATTTACCTGTAAGTTTACCAAATTCCTCTAAAATTTCATCTTTGCCCTTTGACTTGGGAATATTGCCTACGAAAAGGCGCAGATTCGGTACGCTTATATTAATTTTTAGACACTTGCCGGGTTTTATTTCGTGATTATCGAGCTAAATTGTGGGAGGGAAGGTAAAACGATTCTTTTTAATACCAATTCAATGTTATTAATAAATAATAAGTAAAATCATAACTAGTAAATAATTTTGAACTAAGGCAAATAAGGTAGATAAGAATAGGGAAGGGGTGAAATAATAAGATACGGATTGTAAATCTTGTCGTTTCGTTACCAATTTTGAAGCGGGCCGCGTGGTTTGAATTTCGGTTGAGTGTCGAATTGGAAATGTTAAAGGAAAAACATTTTGTTAGTGGTTAACTGGTTATGACAGGTGATAAATGGGGGCAGCATAACTTGCCTCCCAATATCATGGTCTAAATTTTTGGACATGCTCGTCTAAATAAAACCAGACAGTGAGATTGAACGTACGCTGCTAAGTTGTCTACAAAAGTTGATAGCTACATAGCTGGACTTAGGACTAGAGAAAATTCAACTAAAAAGAAAGTAAGATAGATACAGAGAAGGGGGGTAGGTGGTTGTGTGATTTATCAGGGAGGAGGCCAAATCTTTTATTCGAAGAGGAGAGAACTCTTTTCAAACTTGCAATTTGAACGATTTTTAGGGCGCTGTAGAGATTCGTTTGCGTAAATCAAGATTACAACTCAAAGTAGACGGGACATGCATTACATAAGTTACAGAAAGATCAAGTAGAGAGAGAGTCAGCGAGAGAGTGAGACAGATAGCGTTGCCTATAGTTCGAATTCTTTATAGCAAAGGCAGAGGGGAAAAGTAAGCATACGTTAAAAACTAAATGGAATTGCAAAATTTCTCATGGTCGGATCTAAAAGCGCCAAATCGGGTGTGGATCAGATCGGTATTTTTTTGCTCTTGCTGCGGAGAATTTCAAATATTTGAATTTTGGTTTGGCCGCATAACTGTTCCTACTTCTTCCGATGTGTATAACACGATAGTAAATATGTGGATACAATACGTTAAATATGTATATATAGGATATTTGTATAAGTCGTAAGAGTTAGCGATACGTAAAAACATTGAAGCGGGGGTCAACTGATTTCGGGACGGGTGGGGTTCATCGGGGACGGGGTTCTCAGGTGGGCTGGATGGGGTTGGCCTGGGCTGGTGGTTGGTGGTTGGTGGTGTGGATGATCTGTGGTTGGCTTAAATACCTGTCGCACTGCATTGACGGCCGCTTCGCGATTTGTGAATGTGACAAATGCATAACCACGATTTGTGCCCGTCATCGGGTCCATCATGAGGCGTAGGTCCCAGATTATGCCGCAGTTCTCGAAGAGCGGAATCAGTTCGTCCTCGTACATGTCCTTGGGTATCTTGCCGCAGAAAACCTCGCAACCGTTGCCTGGCACATTTCCCTCCCAATGCGGAGGCGGTCCGCCGTATTTACGCTGACCTGAGCAAAGTATAAGCAATAGTTATTAGTTTACTAAAACGGCCTAGAAACTGCAAATTCCGTTCTTCTCACCTGTCGTCACATCCAATGTGTAGCCGGTGCGCTCGAGGATTTTCTTGATCTTGTCCTCGTCGGGGCCTTTGACAGCTGCGGGCGCAGCCACGCCCTGCTGGCTGGCTCGACTCTTCTGGCGGTACGTCTTCATCACGCCGCATAGGTAGGCGGACTTGTTTGACACGTGCTCCAGGTTCGATTCCAGGAACTGTCCCAACACATTCAAGGCACCATCGACGGGAAACTCCTTGAGCGCGTCCAGGGCGCGCTCGTCCAGCTCGGCGTGAGCCAGCTTGCCGGTTTTGTAGATCTCATCCAGTTTGCCGGCGACCTAGGAGCATTTCACATGGTACATGGTTTGTCGTTGTGGTCGCGGTTGTGCGTCGCGGACTCTTGGAGTACTCACCTTCTTGTCCAGACCGTATTCCAGCAGCTTGGGATAGTCCTCTGTACGCTCGCCATCGCCACGGTCATCGGCTTTCTGGTTAATGTCATCTAACAGTTCGCCATTACCTTCCGCCATTTCTGCAAGAGCAGGAATAAAAGTTATTTATACATATTATATTTTAAAAATGCGTAATATACAAGTGCGGACCCACTGCTTAAGCGACCTATAAAATCACCTTAGAGTTCAACGAACGCCACAAAATAGCCGCAATTGTGACCGCTTGCAAAAATGGGTCGCGAGCTTGTGCGAAATACGAGAAATTCGCAACTCACGCATCGTCGCACGCACTCGCGGAATGAGATGAATGGGGAATGCGATAAAGCAGGGAGCATGGAGAGAGCAGACAAAGCGGACAAGTTCATTGACTCCAAACCCAAACAAACGCGAAACGCACAGATTCGCGATCCAGAAGAGCGCACATTCGAGCACCGAAAAGTGCGTGAGAATGGCAGGGCAAAGAGAAACGGAAGAAGGAGAAATAGAAAGAGAAAGAGGGAGCCGCCTGAAAACGTGTTGGCCAAAATGTAAACAATCGGAAGGAGGCGCGACTTGCGAATTGTGCGTGACGTGTTGCGTATACGCGATGTTGTCGGCCTGATGAACAAGAGAGATAAGCGTGACGTATTAGTTGCCATGGTAACCGCTAATGAATCTATACCTGATACAATGTGCTCAATGGCACACGGCTTGGCTTATTGCTTAGTTGAGTCAGCCCAACTCAGTTATATGTGATCTGTTCCGCGTCCAAATTCAGTTGAGCCGCGGAAACGAGCTGTTCAGTTTCGTTGCAGTTGCAGCTGCAGCTGCACTCAGCCATTTATCATAAATGAATATTTATGGCACACTCATAATGAAAATGCAAATGCTCCGCAGTTGTCAAGTGGCAAACGCTCGCCGTAGCATAGAAATCTACCTTAGCAGCCACACTATCAGTAAATGCTATTTTGATTCACATGTACACCTATATGTATGTGCATATATAGAGCAAGTTGTGTGTGTTTGACGTTCAAACAAAAACGAAGCAGGCTGCAAAAATAAAAATGAGGAACCCCAACTAGCCGAGAGCGATAATTGCGTAACATGTGCAAAAAAGCAGAAAAAGCAACAAAAAGCCGCAAAATTATCAGCAAGCTCTATCGTTCAAGAATAGAAGAGGCAATTCAGCGATAGAGCGTGGCGACCCACAAAAATTATGGGCAAACCCGAACTCTTCTAAAATCTTTTCTGTTTGTTGCTCTCTCACTGGCATTCTGCGAATTTCGCATTATTGCTCCGCCATCCGATTCGTTTTCGCTGACATTGAAATACTTTGCGATTGATATCGGGGGCAAATGGGGCTTCGGAGCTGCGAAATCGGCGTGGAATACTCACTGCTGGAACTGGGCAATGGGCTGGGGATCCCGATAGAAGATTGGCTCTTGAGGATCGTGGAGGTCAGCGCCTCGCCGGCTCCTTCATCCTTCTGCACATGGGGGGCTTCCATCTCCATCTCAGCACCGCAAATGCAAAATGTAACAATTTTCAATTTCCTTAGACGACTTGGAATTTCGCTTGCTTGAGTGTGTATTGGGCAATTTCAGAATTTGATTTCCTTGGTTTTTCTTTTCTTTTCTTTTCTTTTTTTTTGAGTAAAAATCAATAGTCAGAGAAGTAGTTGTTCCGAAACGATTCGAAAGACGGCTAAAAATTTTCACAACTGAATAGAAACAAAAATCATTCCCGAATGACTTTTGACAATCGCCCAGTGTGCCAACTACGATTCGATATTGAGCAAGGGTTACCGAACCCACTTTGTTGAGGTGGCAATCCTGGAAATGGTCTAGTGCAATTGTTAAGACCACAAATTTATGACAACTGCAGTGGGGCCATCAGAATGCCATGTGCGCTATAACCACCATCACAATAAACGGAACCAGTCAGCCCCCAACAACAAAAACATATCCCTCTCTCCAGGCCCCTTCCAACATATATATCTGTATATTTGTATAAATGAATATCTGGGCTGTTGGGCGCGAAAACGCAGCGAGCTGTAAGTGGAAAGTGTTGGCGACAACCGCAGGGAAGCCCCCAAAAGGGCAAACACCGGGGAAGCGCCAGGAAAATGTGCTGGCAAAGCGGGAAAGGCGGGAAAATCAGGAAGAGCGTTTTATCGGGGCACTGCGAGGAAATGAATAATAAACACATGGGCCATGGATATAGAGCCAGTTGCAAGGAGTAGACAACCACGCAGGAAATTCCATTAGGATTGCAACCAAATATCGATAAAATAGGATTCCTTATACGCAGTGTTGCCATGCTCCTGCTTCTGGGGCATGTCGGAAGTGCATACAGAAAAAACACAGGATGACTGGCCACATTCCACAGCCAATTTAGGTCTTTATTCTTGGGTGACTGCTCCTGGCCTAAGACCGCTTTTAATTTGCAACACTTGCCGGAGTACATGTTTGCTTTTTTCCAGCCCGTGTCATCATTTTTTATGCATGTTTGTTATGGCAACAGGGTAGTCGCCGCTTGTTTGCCCCGGCGATGGCAACTCTGTCCCATGCATATACAAAAAATAGAAGCACGACTAAAATGGGAAAAAAACAAAGAAACGTTTGCATGTTAAAGAGCATTCCCTTCTGCATGCTCGTTTTGTTTGCCAGAGCCGCTTGGCAACTACCTCAATAAATTTGACGTTGATGCCGGCGATATGCGCAAACACACACAGCCATACATGTATATCCTGGCATATCCTGGCACTTGTGTCGGTTAGTTACACCCTCGGCTGAAAAAAAACAACAGAAAAAGTCACCCTCTAGCCGCTCGCAGGGGTGGTTTGCCCCCGATTCCGCCACCCCCCGCCACTCTCCGCCATTCCGGACTCGGATTCGGTCTCCTTTGCCAAGAGATAATGCCTGGTGTAAGGTTAGTAAATCAGCGATATGACAAATCGCCGCAAACGCAGGCGAAGCACTTAATGCGACGCTTTTTCAATGGGAGACAATGGAGAATCAAAATTGCTGATAAAGCCAAATAAATCGTTTTGCCACATTTGTTCGTCACTCGCGTCCGTCTGCCAGACAATACGTCGCCACCGGCAGCAGTCTGGTCTAGAATTACAAGATCCCCCTCTTGGCAACTCCGCCCCTGTGTCTGTCAACCGAAGCCAGACTGTAGACTGCAGAAACTAGGAATATCTTTCGGATGGTGGCAGGCTAAAGTCTGGGGTTGCTCGCCGTGGTATAGAGGAAGTGTTAAAGTTTCGGCTTTCGCAATTTGAATTTCAAGAAGCCCTAGCCATTTAAATGTTATTGCCATGGACAACGGCGACAACAATGGGGCTCTATAGCACAACCTTGCTCGGGTTTATTGATTTTCAGCCCCCTTTGGGCCCAGCTGAGCCACAACTACTACTCCGCCGGCCAGTTAAGCCGATTTAAGGCACAAAAATAACTCCAGACTGGCCGGAGTGAAAAGTGCAGACAGTGCAGCAGACCTGAATGAAGGCCCCCAAACGGAAGTGTGGCAATGCCTTCTTGTAATTTATAGCCCCACAAGGGGGTTGATGGGGTGGGGCATTAGAAGGCGGCCAGTTGGCCGCATAAGTTGCACAATTTATGGCATTGCGACAACGAACAAATTCCCTGCAAAGTGCAGGCAAACCAAGCAAATTAGATGGAAGCGCCTTGCAGGCGGCAGACAACGGTGAAGATTGTAGGGAAGAAAGGATGCCTTTCCGGCCTTAAGAGAATATTAAATGAATGAAAATGGTTGTAATTTATGGAGGACTACAGAAGAAGTTTAATGAAATATTAGGAAGGCCTTCATTTAAAGTTCAACCCGAAGGGATATTTAATGTCTGCCTACATTTCGGTACTGGAGTAACAGGAATGCCGGCTTGCTTTTAGGCGCTGGAATAGGAGCTTATACTTTTAATTACAGATTTACATTTTTTCACTCCAATCTATTTAAATGCATTTTCAAAACCATTCTAATTCAGTGAAATTTAATACAAAATATGTTATACAATGAATTTCCTGCAATGACATTTCCTTATATCTTCTGTGCCTTTATTAAAGGTTATTATCCTGATTTTATTTTCCTCCTTCTGATAAGTTATCTGTTTTTCAACATTTAAAAAACTGCATCCCAAGATAACTCTTAAATGAAGTCACGTGGAGAGGCGGCATCGAACACCATATTTTTCAGGACCCGATGCCAAAATCAAAGATAACATGGCAATAAGTTGCAAGTCGGGTTTATTTGAGTAAACAGAAACAAGTTCGTGGCAGTTCAGTGGGGTTTTGTTGCCAAGACACCAATCAGGCGGGTTCTCCGTTGCAATATCTGCCAAAAAAGCTCTTTATGGCCACGTCACTGGGGTTCATAGCCACCGTCACAGCCACGGCCGTAAAAATTGTGCAGCCCCGGGACCGGGGAAATGTTTTCAATATTTGATGCTCACATTTTGTGGCCGCAAAAGTGCAGGGATGCTGCCCGGCCGCATCAACAAATAAATATGGCGCCCAACATCCAACCAATACCCGTGCCCCCAGAAGCCATTCCATTCGAAAAGGTCAGTCACGTGTTGGCCAGGCCAAAACTAAGGGGTCCTGCCGAATTCACTGCATTGCGGCAGCGACAACAACGGACAGACGGACAACCGAACGGACGGACAGTACGGACAGTATGTGCAAACAGTTGCTCACAGGCTGAGGCTGAGGCATTGTGTCTATCCGTGTCCGTGGGTATTTGCGCTGTGCAACTGCCAAACATAAGGAGTGAAAAAACAAGGTACGACGTCCCTGCAACAGTATATAAAGCCGCCGACTCATGGGAGGAAGTGGGCTGGGGCTGGGCGAGTTGGTGAAATAAAAGGCACGCGACAAGCACAAAATGAAAATTACACAAAAGTTTGCCAAAGAAGAAAATGGCATGCTTTTTTATGGCTGCCAAAGATGCCCCCAGGAGTCGATGTCGGAGCTAGAGTTGTAGAAGTGGAAAGCCAACTTTGGTAGTGGCAGAAAAAACACAAATAAAGCCAGTTTTGGGGATTGAAATCCGGGATACCCTGGCTTAAAAACGTTAGTATACA